TCTGGGGAAGAAACTGAAGGAACAAAGAATGTTTGGAGAAGAGATTTGTGACAGGGTAGGGAGTGGTGGCAGCTAGCTTTAAATACTATAGACTTAGGTAGGATACTGATTACATGCATTTTTAATCAGTTTCATGGGAGTAAATCTAAGGATGATGGGAAACTTTATCAATAACTTGGGCATTAGTAATGTGGACAAAATTTCTTAGCATAGTGTTTGAAATTTTTTTGCCCAACATTGCTTAATTCTCTTTCTGGTTTACTTTTCTCCACCACCTTAATCACCATCGAAAAATTTATGTACTTTTAAAAAAATTTGTAGTCCTAGGGATTGAACCCTGGGTCATGCATATGTTCCCAAGCCTTCTACCGCTGCATAATACCCACAGCCCCATATTATTAATGCTGTGTTTTATTTATTGACTGTCTTTTTCTTTTGCAATTTACTCTCTGTAAGGAGAGGGCTTTTCATATGGACTGTTTACTGCTGTTTCCTTGGTGTCTCACACTTGTACATTTACACAAACATTTATTGAAAAAATGAATGAATATGTAGGCATGTTTCTACTCTCTTGCTATCTGCTACCAAGAGCTCTTGTTAATGCTTGTCCAGATTCTTTTTTTAAAAAAAAAATCAGTTCCTGGGAATGGTTTGGCTTTTACTATGTTGGTTAGTTGGACTGCTGTAAGCAGACCTGGGAAAATTTTGGAAGAATTATAGGATTAGAAAGCCATGGGGTGGGACTAGGGCTTGGAGAAATTTTTCTGGGGATATGTGGAAGGATAAGCTGAAAAGTGAGGGGAAGGGGATGGGGAGAAAAGGAGACTGAAGCATCACTGGGCTACTCAGAATGTGTGAGTCATACTTGCAAAGAACTTGAGTTACTTTCAAATTAAAGTCTAGTTACTGGTTAGTTTCTTTGATAGTAACAGTGTTGACACTGAGCCATATGGCCAAGCTTCCCAAGGTCCTAGTTAGCTGTTAACTTTGGACAAACAGCCCTGCTTCTGCAATAGTGGACTGCCTATTCCTGCTTCACCTCAGTGGCTGTGAGAATCAAAGCCCAAATAAAAATTCCAGATATTCGTTGAATTACGAGAGTGGAGCTGTATATCTATCCTAACTATTTTGAGTATACAAATACAAAAGGGCCATTCATTTTTATCCCACTTTTTTGGTTAGTTTTGTCAGAGAAGGGCATTCCATTGTCATTGTTATAATAGTATTTGAGACAGGATATCATGTCTGCATCTTGTACAATGAATAACCACTAAGACAACAATATGTAATGTATTAATTACTGTAAATGTGCCAGTAATTGGTTGTAAAACTGTCTTATTGATATTTGTCTTTCAATAAAATTATTAAAAAATAAAATTAAATTTATACATCTATCAACTAAAAAAAATAAAAAGTGTTAAGTTTTAGCTTCATAATATTAAAGAGTTAAAATTCCTTTCCCTTTAAAATATTATACTCTGGTTTCTCTTCAGATTGTATAAATCTTTCACCTTTTACTAAAATATTCGTACAGCTCAGCATATTAATATGGCTTTACTTTTTATACCTCATTGCCAGTCCTATGGATAACCCACTACTATTATGGATTACTAGACTATATTGGATTGTTTTGCTGAATTCACGCACCTACAATTTTTAAATGACAATGGAATACCCATCTCTGACAAAACTAAACAAAAAAAGTGGATGCAAATGGAAGACCATTTTGTATCAGTATATACAAAACAGAACAGATATATAGCTACTTGCTCTTAATTCAATGAGAAGAAAGAATTGTACTAATGGTGTTTGGACAGGATATCATGTCAGCATCTTGTACTATGAATAACTACTATGAAGACAACAATATACAATGTATTAATTATTGAAACTGTCCTACTAATTGGTTTTGAAACTGTCTCATTGCTATTTGTTTCTCAATAAAATTAATAAAAATATTCTAGACATTGATAGTTTGTATAAATTTTAATAAGTGATTATCTAAATGTAAGCGATTATTATTCTTGGTACTGTATTTTTGTATGTAATAGACACTTAATTAGTGTTATATATGTGGGTCTCATAATCTCTTTTTTGTAAGAGAATGAAGCTGCCCAGAAAGCATCAAACGGCAGCTTGCATGGAGAGAGACCTTGCTGGGTGATGGTCAAGTTGGGATGTGGTTCTGCAATTTTCTTGGACAAAGCAGAATTAAACATTAACTTGGAGTACAATCCCAGAATGCTAGGATTACAGGCCTGTGCTACCCCACCTGGTTTAAGATTTTGTTTTGATAAAATAAGCATTACTTGAGGCTGAGACGTGAGGATAACAAATTTGAACCCAGCCTCAGCAACTTAGTGACGTAGGGGGATCTTGTCAAAATAAAAAATGGGGAAAGGTCTGGGAGGTAACTGAGTGAGAAGGCCCTGGATTTAATACCTAATACAACAACAACAGCAACTACAACAAAGCAGAAAACAAGCAAAACAAAAACCCAAATAAACCAGCCCCACAAACAAAAACAAAACACACACAAAAACAAAATTAATCAAAATACAGTCCTTGAATATGAAAACCGGGTTCTAATTCTGACTCTTCCACAGTCTAGTTGTAGGTCTTCGATGTGTGTTAACCATTACAGACTCTAGTAACCTTGTATGTAAAGTCTGATTAGAAATTCTCACCATTTCTATGATACTAGATGATACATTTTGCTAGTTTGGATCTTAAATATCCCCCAAATCCCACATGTTAGTGCTTAGAGCTTAGTTTGGCTCCACTGGGCACTGGTAGAAACTTTTTAAGAGGTGGGATAGAGTGGCAGGTCTTCAGCTCATTGGGGAGTGCCCTTGAAGGGGATGGCAGGCCCACAGCTTCTTCCTTTTCCTCATTCTGCTTTGTTCTTGGTCAGAGGTGAGATGCTTTGATGTTCCCTGCACAGATTGCTACTATGTGCTGCCCATTAAAAGTCAAAAGTAGCTGAAATCTCACAAAATATGAGCCAAGGTAAGCCTTTTTCTGATTTATTATTTCAGGTATTTGTTACAGTGATGGAAAGCTGACACAGAATTTAAACAGCCATTCTAAAACAAGATTCTTTAGCTTTCTTTATGCTAGTGTTATTTCTTTTTTTTCTTCCTTGAACATTACTCTAGAGGTACAAAAGCAATATTGATTCACAGAATGAACATTCTGTGATTTTAAGCATTTCCAGAAGAACTAGAATCACTGTGCTTAGAGTTTCTTTAGAACAGTTTGGAAGCCCAGAGCCAACAAGTAGCTACTCCAGTGTGACAGGGAGAACATGATCACAAACTCAGGTGGAACAGGAGGTGCCAACAGCAGCTGGGATTTACCGAGGCAATAATCAAGGCTGGTAAGATTATTGATACTCACAAAGATTCTATCTAGTAGATTTTCTTCTGTGACTTCCTTTCTTATATGAAGGAATTAATGAACATGGAATAATTTGTGCTTGTCATGGTTTAAATATGCATGTTTCCCAAAGACTCATGCATAGTACTGAAGGCTTATTACCCAATACAACAATGTTCAGAGATCGAGACTAGAGATTGAATTCTAAGGGTGCTAATCTCAGCAATGGATTGAACCACTGATAAGTTAATTAAATGGGCTATAAGAGATGGGGCCTGTTTGGAGGAAGCAGGTGCTGGATGTGGGGAGCACTTTTGCCACTGGGTCCTTGTCTGAGCCTCACTCATGCAGTTTCTGCTTCCTGCCTACCTGGCTGCCATGAGGGGAGTAGCTTTCCCCACCCCCACCCTTTGCCATGGTGCTACAGCCTGTCTTCAGGCCCGGGAACAATGGAGATAGCCGACATGGGCTGAAGCCTCTGAGACCAGGAGCCAGAATAAACTTTTCCTATTCTACGTTGATTTTCCCAGGTACTTGTCACAGTGTCAAACCTGATAAACACAATGATGTTTCCACCCATGTGTGTTTGTCTACTATCAAGACAGGCTCAGATCACTTTTGTGCCTGGTTTTTAAACAAATTTTATAAATTTCTATGCTGCATGCTGAAGGCTAACATAATACGACAGTGATAGTGACAAGGGCCTCCCAACATGTGCAGCATTATCTTGCTGGTTTTATCTAAACTAATGGTACTCTTGGTGGGTGAAGCCTCACTGGGTTCTGTATATACTGGATATGTACATTTTATGCTTGCTGATATGAGTAGGAGGTATCTCATTCCATTCAAATTGCTACTATGAATAAGAACAGGGAAAATTCTTATTCCCTATCCAATGCAATTTTTCAAGTAATCTTTATAAAGAAGGTAAGTCACATTAGTCATAATAAAGTGGCTTGATAAGGAACCAAAGCAAAGACACATGGATAGTATTAAGAGAGTTCAGAAAAATTGGGGTGGAGATTGATTCCATCTCTGCTGTTTAACAGCCCATCTCCAGGGGTTATATTTCTCATATCAGGGTTATCTTTCTTGAATGATGCTGAAAGCATCTTCTGTGGCATAGCACTTCTTATCTGCTGAGAATGCACTATTTGCTTACTTTTTCTTTGCCCAGATATGCTGTTATCATTGATTAACCTATTACTGTGGTTTTGTACTTATTACCTTGGGAGGCAAGTTGTATTTTACCATTGTGTGTTTTAAATGATCTGGTTGTTCTTATTTATGTTTTCAAATTGTGAAGTACATCTAGTGTCTTTGAGTCTGCAAAAACTAAAAAACTGAAAGAAAAACATAAAACTATGTATTTTTCTACTGAAACATTTTTATCCCAGCTACATATTTACTCTCTGAAAAAGTTTAAATAAAATCAATCCAGCTATCTTGAATTATGAAATGGAAAGATAACATATTTTTAAATACTTTATTTTCTAATCTCAATTAAATTAAAAACATAAATTTCATGATACAGATAAAACTTTCTATTTTAGTTTCAGAGCAAAACATTCTTAAAAAATAGCAAGAGTTTTCCCATAAATACATTATTAATAGCTACTTACATCTTTTTAAGTTGTGTGTATTTGATGAACACTTTATCTGGAAGACTGTAGATTTTGTTTTTCTTAAGAGACCTAAAGTAACATGAAAAATAGACTTCATTATGACTTTTTAATGACAAACTATACTTCCCTAGATGATGCATGTTTAGGAAAAGAATGTTCTATGGTAATTAACACACTTTTGAGTATGATGGCACAGAAAATTTTTCAGAGGAGAATAAAAGTGCCTAAAGAAAAGTTCAGGTATAGCCATGTCCCACCAACAGGACGTGTTCTGAGAAATGGAATAAGCACAGAGCAGTGCTTGGCATAGAGTGCACTTCTAGAAATGGGATATCTTAGGTGGAGCACAGCATACTGTTTTATGGTAAGTTTTTAAGAAGAAGAACTGATGATTAAATTGATGATTGGTGAAATTAATGATTAAAAAGTAGGTAGAGTATAGCAAATACTTAAACTGGTAATGGGATGACATATTACCCTGATCAAGTATTATGTGTATGCTATCCTTTTGTATGACTGGTCACACCAGAGGTTTGTTTATATGAGCATAACATAAGCATGTGAGTACTAGTTGAATCCAGACATTTTAATGGCAATAATGCCACTATGAAAAGGAATTTTTCAGTTCTTTCATAATCTTTTGGCATCCTAAATAGATATCTGGTCCACCATGAATTTCATGACTGCAGTTGACAAATACTTGATGAGCTTAGTGTATACTAGACCGGAAAGTTTCTGGTGATTTACCATTTTCTTTCATTTTTTTAGATAACTTAAAAAAGCAGATGAAACCAAAACAACCAAAGTTCCTAACCAACTTATATGTGATGACAGGACTACAAATTCCTCAGCTCTTAAAATTTTTAGGGGAAATGCAGATGCTTCACACAGCCAGTTGCATGGGTCTTCTACCCTTTGTAGTCTTGGATCAATTATTAAGAATGGATGGACGGGGCCACAGAGGAAAGTGATTGACAATGTAGAGTTTGCCTAAGGAGAGTCACATGGAGAGATAACATTCTCTCAGGCTTTCACAGAGAGCAAATTGGTCAAGCAATGGCCATGACTCATCCACATGGCTGACACTGACAAAAGATCTACAAACTACGGTACAGGGTTTCAAGGTAAATCCTGAGGGGATTTGACTGACCTTGTCAGATACAAAAGTTGCATTTCTTGTTATATAGGTCTTGCTTTATCTTGGTCTTAACCATCCAGCAGAAAAGTATAAAAAGTAAAGTCATATTAATATGCTGAGCTGTAAAAGGCCTAAGTCAACAACTTCTGACATTGCCAGTCCTACAGATAACTTACTACTGTTATGGGCTAGTGGATTATATTGGATTATTTTGCTGAATTCACACACCTACAATATTTAAATGGCAATGGAATACCCATCTCTGACAAAACTAAACAAAAAAAGGAATAAAAATGGACAATTTTGTATCTGTATATTCAAAATAGTTAGGATATATCTATAGCTACTTTCTCTTAATTCAATGAATAGAAAGATTTGTTCTAATAGTGTTTGTGGACAGGATATCATGTCTACATCTTGTACTATGAATTATCACTACAAAGACAATAATATGCAATGTATTAATTATTGAAACTGTCCTACTAATACGTTTTGAAACTATCTCATTGCTATTTGTTTCTCCATAAAAAATAATTAAAAAAAGAATGGGATGGAGTAGGTAAATGTGTTTTCTTTTGAACATTTCTGTACAGATGCACACATAACAATATACAAGTTGTAAATATCTCAAAATGAGAGTTACAGACCATTAATGGGGCTGATCCAATGTTTGGTGTTTAAATACATTTTTGCTTTCCTGGAGAAGCATATAGAACTATCTGATGTCTGTTTTAAATGAAATTTTGATTATTTTGTTAATGTAACTCCATAGAAATACTACGCAGATTTCATTGGTTTTTGTGTGACTCTGGGGACAAATATCATCCGTAGATATTCTACTCACAGTAATGTCACATTGGATGAAAGTGTAGGCACAGACTTTAGACCAGCGTTTACACATTCCAATTCAGTTTCTTTGCAATCACAGTGTTGTGGATAATGGTTTAGAACTAGGAACACAAGAGGAAAATTTTACTAGAAAAAATACATTTCCTTAATTGTGACAATAATAACTAACATTATTTTCTTTCTATCAAAGGTATAGCATTCACATCCATTAAATGGTGTTATTTAGCACATAGTAAATGCAAATGATTCTTTAATAATGATAGACTAATAGGATCATCTCCGCTCTAGCTTCCAATGATCATTTCAGAGACATTTAACAGGTGACTAAAAAGAAACTACAGACACATTTAAGCAGGATAAAATCATATGGGAAAGCGAGATAAGTTTTCCTCAATGAAAAACACTAGGATTGAATAAATCTTAATGGCAATAATTGGGTCAATTCAATTCAATAACACAAGTAAGTGCTAATTAAATGCTTTTGTATTAAAATTTAATTCGATTTTCCTCCTTTCCAACTTAGAGGTGTGAAAAGAGTTAGATGTAGATTCTGTAGGAGCCACTATTACACTTTATTAAAATCCTTCTTGTTAGATATAGTCACATTAGATGGTTTTTTATTACTGGGAAGTTAAAAGTGTCAGATGAAAGTCATAGATAAGCTATAAAGCTGAGCAAATCGAAGATCCATCTATCTGAAGCATTGAGAGGAAAGAAAAAGTCTTCAAAATTTACTTCGAAGGGGCCGGGGAGATGGCTCAGTAGGATAAGCGCTTGACTGACAAACTCAAGGATCTGAGTTCAATCCCCAGTTCCGCCAAAAAAAAAAAATGTATCCTAGACAAAATTTACTTCGAAGGAGCTTACAGAATTACTGAGATAATGGTGTATGAAGGAGCAGGGAATCTATGGAGAAAAATGGCAAACCTACCCACAGAACTGTGTGTGTGTGTGTGTGTGTGTGTGTGTGTGTGTGTATGTGTGTGTGTTCATGCATATGCAAACATGTGTTAGAAGCAAATATTTCTGGAATCTCAATTTTCCATTGACCTTATGAGTATTTGATTTGATGCAATTAAAAAGTGAGTTATTTTCAAATTTATATTATTATTTAAATGTGATAACAAGATCTTTCCAGTTACCCTGCTTCCTCTGGATCACTTTAAGCCAAGTGTTTTTTTTTTTTTTTTTTTTTTTTTTTTTCTGGTACTAGGGATTGAACTCAAGACCTTGCACTTGCCAGGCAAGTACTTATTCCACTGAGCTATCTTCCCAGTCCCTCTAAATGTTAATTTAAAAATGAACTTTAGTAGTAAAGACAGCACATTTGTTACTGAATATCTATGTAACACTAAAGATTCTTTTAGTATATAAAGTTTTAGAAAATATTTTATGTTATCTATAGGTGCATGATAAATAGCTCTCTCCCTAAAGATGTTAACATGGTTACTTCAATTCTCATTGATGTTTAGAATATTATGGAAATAATACGGGCTGGGGAGTAGCACAGAGGCACAGTACTTGCCTGGAAAGCAAGAGGTTGTGAGTTTGATTTCCAGTACCAAAAAAAAGTTATGGATGTTTATTAAATTGAAAACATATGATTAATAAGTATATTTGCCCATAAGAGAATTTTCATATAATCAAGCTGGCTGTGTTGCCTAAAATTTAAAAAAAAATTGTGAACATAATTCTTCACTCTCCTCTTCTTGCAAGCCAGCTATCCCTCCAGGTTCTGTGCATTTTCCTGTGGCCTCTTACATCTTTTGCCACCTCATTCTTCTCAATGCCATTTTTGGCCTCAGATTCTGAAGTATTGCAAAAATCATGATCATCAGTATCCACATCACTGCTTCTTGTCAATCATATGCGAGACGTTTTGGCTGCCATCGTCCTTTGTTGCGGGGTCCGTCACGTGCACTGTCACATGCTCAGCAGCACCCGTGGCCTCTGTGACCTACATACCTGCGGCACATCCCTCGCAACAGCCATGACAACCCAACATGTCAACAGAAATGCCCCAATACTATTATTCCAGCCAGACTCATTGCTTGAGTAAATTCTTCGCAATTTTGATGGAACAATTTTCCTCACACCCACTTCTCATCTTGTGTCCTCCCTCATTATTCAAACAAATACAATATAAATAAAATAAAATCTCAATCTAAACCCAATACAAAAGCCCATAACTTCAGTGGCTGCCCTTTATGTACAGCAGCTTGGTGCAAAATGGAATTCATATATGCAGAATAACTTCTTTGCTTTAGGAAGAAAAGATTAGAATTTTAATGATGTCCTTTTTAATTTCTATTTTTATACATTTGGGTATAATCAAATACATGATAAATGAGTTGTAAAGTGCATGATACAGTTACTGCTTGGTATCTGAGGGTCTGATTCCCAGGACCTCGCTGGAGAGCAAAATCTGCAGATGCTCAGTTCTCTTGTATAAAATGGTGTAGTATTTGCATAGAATGTACTCACCTTCCCTCTATACTCTAAATAGAATCGATTATTTACAGTGATAATACAATGCATAATACTATGCAAATAATAGATAAATAGTTTTTATACAGTATTGTTGAAGAAACAGTGGCAAAAAGTCTGTATAAGTTCAGTAATTTTTTCAATATTTTTAGTTTGGGGTTGGTTGAAACTTGTAGAACCTGAGGATTCAGAGGACTGACTGTGTACTGTTAATATGCTATGATATATACATGCATACATATGGATATCATAAATTTATGTACACTACTGTGTGTATGTAATTGTACATCCATCTACATAACTTTGCACACACACATGCAAATACATATCAAACTAATTCTAACTACAGGATAGAGGCCAAACTCCAAAGTATATGCTGGAACTCTTTTGAGCCTTCTGAGCTGAGCTCCTGTGTTACCCACCTCTGCCTCTCAGAATCTCAGAGTGGGTATGCCAAGACATTGTGAAGTGTGCTCTGAGCTGTCTACCCCCGTATTCTGCTGATCTTGCTCTTCTGCTCATCCTCTTGCCTCTATCATCTCTCTATTCAAGAACTTGAAAGTTCATCTTAAGTGGCATCTTCTCTGGGATTATTTCCCTAGACCTGGGCAGAGCTATCATTTCTGCTACTGGGCTTCCATGTTCTCTTGTGAAGTGCTAAATAAATCATTGCTTTTGAAACAATTCCTGTGTAGTAAGGTGTTTGTGGTTCAGTACCGCATTGTCAGTGCCAAAGGGGCTAGCAAGTAGTTGATGCATAATATAGTTACTGAAGAAAGTAAATGGACTAAGAACTTCACTATCACAATAGCTCAATATCTCCATATATTTTCAATCGTAGATTACTACTGAAAAGTAGCATAAATGGGGATAGCCTCAGGCAGACAGTAGAGTCATTGGTCAAAGAAACAGAATGAACCCAAAATGAAATTCTGAAGGGAATTTATCATAGTATAGTAGTCCCCTCTTATTCACAAGAAACATATTTTAAGACTCCCCCCTCCCTCAATGGATGCTTAAGATCATAGCTGGTACCAAACCCTATATACACTCTTTTCTATAATGCATACCTATAATAAAGTTTAAATTGTAAATTAGGGCAGTGAGAGATTCACAAAAACTAACAAGAAAATAGTTATAACAATATACTCTAATAAAAGTTACGTGAATGTAGTCTCACTCTCCTTGAAGTATTCATTCATTCATTCATTCATTCACTCATTCATTTTTGTTGTGGTGCTGGGGATTGAACACAGGGCTTGCATATTCTAGGTGAGTGCTCTACCTCTGAGCTCCATCCCCAGCCTATCATCTAATATTTTCAGACTGAGGTTGATTACATATTACTGAAACCATGTGGACAGTGAGACTGGAGATAACAGCAGGTTACAATACTCATATAAATCCATGCACCACAAATCAAATCATGCTATTCAAAAAGCTGACACTGTCTTTGAACCAATTCCACTTACAGCACTCCTGTGTTAATGTCACATTATTAACATTTCCATGAACTGTGCCAAATATGGTCGCCCATCCACTAGTGTCACCTGTGAAATGGTGATTAATATGTGTCAGTTATTCTAGAAATCATATATCATATTACAAAACAAAAGTATAAAGATTTAATAATGAAATGAAATTTAAAAATTTGTTTAGACTGATTGATAGTTTAAATATGTAAATAGTAAAGAGGAGAAGCTAAGCAAATATTGGTGGTATTTCCATTTTTAATAACTACTACAAATATTTCAAATATATATTATAAAATATAATGCAATATGTAATTATTTTAAATAATTACAAATATCTTGAAAAAATCAGCTGTTTTAGCACTGATCTATCTATCTATCTATCTATCTATCTATCTATCTATCTATCTTTTTTTTTAGGGTTTTTTTTTTAGTGTGTTTTGTTGTTACAGGGTCTCACTACGCAGCTTGGACTCATGGTGATCCTCCTGCTTTCAGTCTCTCCAGCTCTGGGATTACAGGTGTGGGCAACCACGCCTGGAATCTGGCTTTCTCAGCCCATCCTGAGGACGGGGCTGATTTGGCATGTGGTGCTGGGGATCAAACTGAACCATGGTCTCTGTGCTTGCTTAAGCTTGCCTAAGCAGGTGCTTTAGTCCGCTGAGCTATCTTGCTGGCCCTAGCATTGATATTTTAAATGTGTGAGGACCACAGAAGAAGCTACAATCTGAATTTTATTTTTGTCCTATGTACACTCCTCTAAAATATATGTACAAATATCAGTATATGATTAATAGATACAATAAGTTCTCACATAATGTATGTCATTCTTCTGTTTTGTTTTGTTTTAGTGATGGAGATTTAATGCTAAGCACATGCTTTACCCCCAGCCATATTATCTTTTAATGAGGCAAAAATAAAGTGTGTTTAATAAAAGGGCTTGAATCCTGTTGAGAGGAATAACATTTCCTCAGTTTATCACATGCTAATGTCAAATCTGTCATGTGTTAATATGGTCTGCTGTGTTTTGTTTATTTTTTAAAGACACTAGAACACAGTAAAAAAAACATTAGAAATGATATGGAATTTCACTAAACAAAATCATAGAGATTCAATTGTGGTCTTCAAATTAGTTGTTCAGACTAGCAGGTATAAGCACTCAAAATTGGTCAAAAATGAAAGAGAATAGAGAGAAAAACTTAAGCTTTAACGACTCCTTTCAATAGACTAGAAGAAATCAGTAGTACAATTATCCAAGCTACCTTATGTGTATATATATATATTTTTTTTTCTTTTCTTTCTTTCTTTCTTTGTTCTCTCTGTCTCTCTTCTCTGTCTCTCTCTCTGTCTCTCTCTCTCTGTCTCTCTCTCT